TGGATCTTAGCTTTGCCCATAGCTAGCTTTGTGGCTTTAGGCAAGTGTGTTAATATCTCTAGATTTCTGTTGCCTCTTTCGGGGGGAAAAGGTAATATAAATACTTATCTGGACTACCTTACCAGTGTGCCTTGGGCAGCAAATGCAATAGGTTTTATGAAAGTTTTGTAAATTGTGCACTTCTGTGTCAGAGAAGTTCTCCTTGCCGATAACAGCAAGCAGAGGAGACAATCCTATAGGAAACTAAAACTCCTCTCGGAGGGCTTTGTCCTAAAGTTCTTAGAATCCATCCGGCATTAACCATGATTTTATCCTTGTTGGACTTTGAAAAGCCTTTAAAACATGATCACTGTTCACTATGAATTCTACTTAATCGCTCTTTCTGTAGCTAATTTTTGCTTTGAGTTCATTTCCATATCATCTGCAATTAATATTTACAGAATGTTTGCTTAAATATCTTAGATAACATATGAGACATAAAGGAGAAAACCCGTTGCAAAAACAAGAAGTAGATTTATTTGTATTTATTTCCTACTCTTTTTGTTTTATGTATTTTAATAACCCCACCCCTTTATGTGAATAAAGGAAATGTAGATTTAAAATACGAAAACCTTTGGTTTCGTAGTTAAGTCTTAACCTTCCCTAAGTGGCTCCTTCCATATATGCTTGGAAATGTTTCCAGTTTCAATGCTACTTCTTTCATCTTGAAAACACCAGAAGATTCTTATCATTACTTCTTTGTTTTTCATTCCCTGTTATGAATTCCACACCACTACTTCCCTATTCATTACATTCTCGCACCTCACTGGGTTAATAAATTCTTTTGACACCTACTGCCCCTTCCTTCCTTTGCTAGCCCTCCTCCAAGAATGGTGCCCATCAATATTGCATGCCAGGGGAGTGCAGGCCTGACAGCGCCCTGGCCCAGCGGGGAGCCTGCTCCCTTCTGTTCCAACCCAGTGATGAGAAGAGTCCCTCCTCCTCCTGCCTCCAGCGCCCGCTGCTCACAGCAGACCGAGAGACAGATGTTCCCAGTCCCCACCTCTATTGTAAGGGCCACTTGAAGTGGATTCCACTTTAGTCTCCATCCTTAAAAGTTTAATGCTCACTTCTCAAGGTAACGCTTGTAACTAAAAGGTAAGAGTAGTGCTCAGAAAAATGCAGCCATCACTTTTTGCTGCTCCAGTAGGAAAACAGACTAAGCAAGAATTTGGTAACTGCTTAGGGCAAACAGCGTAATATCAACTTTGACGCCGTGAAAGCAAGACTTCACTCATGTTCTAAGAAAATGAATTTCAGACTGGAACTAAGGAGGACAAGCTGCGTTCAGAGGAAATGAAAACCGAAAGGAATAGTAATGAGTTCTCAAGCTGCCACTCGCCCTGTAATTCCAAATAAGTACATTTCCAAGTATTTTGATAACTTTACACTTAATAAAACTATGTTGTTACTCAGTGAGAATGGAGATGATATTAAAAGACTAAAGAGATCATTTTTTTTAATGTTCTGAATAGGAAGAAAAGCCACAGGTTGGTGAGATTCTAGTGAAATTTTAGAATGAGAGAGGAAGTGCTGATAGCCAAGTTTTATTAAGGGGAAAATATGCCAAATTTTAACTGAGTTCTTAGACCTGATAAAAATAATTACCAAGAACTTAGGAATTTCTAAGATTTGACCTTACTTATGACCTACTAAGTTGGCCACCACCATTTTGTAGATGCTGATAAGTGACACAAGACTCCTGGGTCAGACAGAGGGCAGTTTATTACTCACAGCCATAGCACTTACCAAAGTATTACCATTTTTGTGCTGGTTTCCCAAGCCCCAGTTCTGGAAGGGTGAGGTGAAGACAGACGACATCTATACACTGGGTGGTTGCACGCCAGGAACAGACCACTGAGCTCAGGGAACCTGAGTCTTTTCTAATGGGAAGTAGGCATGTCTGCCGTTTGCTCCAGAGGTAAGCACTATCTTTGGCTTCCAAGGTGATTGCCATACAGTTACCTTGAAAAGACAATCAGGACCATGAAGAAACATGAGAGATCCATAGAGAATAGTTTTCCAACAATATTAAAAAAATAACAGCTACTATCATTCATTGAATGTTAAGTGAGGGTAAGCCATAGATATAAGCTAACTTCTATATTATGAAGTATTAATATATTAACCGTAGGTAAAGACAAGGGAAAAATCCATTTCAAGTGGCTGTTGCAATTGTAAAGGAACTTGATATATCCTCTGTAATATTTGTGTGAATGAAATGAAGAATATGAACTGTACAATGTACATTTTAATGGGTTTATATTTGAGTGAACTAAGTAGCTCTAAGTATTGATGTCAGACTGGAGAGAGGTTTCAAGTAGTGTCCTTGACAAGGTCTCTGTCTTTGCCCTATTCTTGTATTACAGTGTTATAAATGATTAGAATGAGAACATAAATGGCAGGCATATCAGATTTATGGTGGATAAAAGACTGGAAGAGATAGCCTGTATTTGGAGGAAAGATACAGCATTAAGGCATAGACAACCTAAAAATTTTCCTAAAACAATTAAGTGTAATTAGATAGCTAAATATAAATTTCTCTTTATAGGTTCAAAAGCCATCATTGCAACCACAGACCTATAAAGACAGCCTAAGAGCCTCTCATGTTAGAAGTACATAGAGTGGTTAGCTTTAACAAATTACTTAACCTTCTTGGGGCTTCATTGCCTTCTTTTATAAAAGAGTTGCTTAATCATATTATCTCTATCTTCCCATCTAACTCAAGTCTGCTAAATAATATAAGTAATTAATTGGTTGCAAATAATCCAAGGCAACAATTTTGTGAGGCATTGATATAACTACATATTCCTAAGCAAAGAAAACACCAGTCCCCCTATACTGTGTACTTGAATGTCATTGGCCCTCTGTGTCTGCGGGTTCTGTGTCTGCAGATTTGACCAACTCAGATCAATAAATTTGGAAAAAGTGATTTTTTTCCAGAAAGTTCCAAAACCAAAACTTGAATTTACAGCATGCTGGCAACTATTTAAATAGCATTTACGTTGTATTGGGTATTATAAGTAATCTAGAGATGATTTAAAGTATATGGAAGGATTTGCCTAGGTTATATGACATATTTTATAAGAGTGATCTAATTTTTTGGTTATAAATGATTATAAAATTTTTATAGTGGTTATATAATTTTTATGTAATGGTTATATGCTATTTTATATAATACTCTGCCATTTTATATAAGGAACTTGAACATCTGGGGATTTTGGTAGCTGCAGGGAGTTCGGGACCCAACCTTCTAAGGATACTGAGGGGTGACTATCTTACATTCATTTCAAGATGCTCCACTCTAGTGAAGACATTGAAACACTGACAGACATCTCTATGAAAATAAAGATAGAATTATAGGGAGAGATTGGGAAACCGTGTATTTCTAGCTGAAGTTGCAAAAACTGAGGATGTTTGGTTGGGAGGAAAGAAGACTTTAGAGATACCATAATAATCTCAAAATTTAAAAGTTTCTTTCAGACCAAACTGGAGAGAATGCAGGTCAAGAATATGTGGAGAGAAGTGTCAGGAAGGCAAACTGTGTTTGTTCTAAGGAAGAATGTCCTTTAAATTTGAACTAATAATAGATGAGAAGACCCCTGAAGGAGAAGTGGGCTGCAGTGTTGAATTAGTTTAAAGCAGTAGCCACGTGTCAACATGATGCAGGGAAGCTCTGTGCTTGTAGACCCTTAGGGCCCTTCCTCCTGTAAAATTCCATGAGCCCGTGATTGCTTGTCATGCTGTTCTGACAGAGTTGTTTTGAGTATTGTTTTTGCAAAGGCATTGGTTTTAGTCTCAGCATGAGCTCTTGTTGTGAGACTTGGGGCAATCCACTCAACACCTTGGGGTTGCCTCCTTACATATCTACTGACAGCTTGGGTTAATTTATTCGTTGCCTGTTGATTACAATCTTGTTAGGGAAAGAATAAGGCAGTTAAAAAAATGTGAAAATAAAGAATTTGGGTCTTTGAGGTTAGTCCCATGCAGATTCTCAGAGTATGAAGTATACATGTACAGAAATTTTACATTGCTATAGAAACACAGTTCTATGTACTTTCTTGGTTTTACTTGAAAAAATGAATCTGTTATACTAGCCTGAATTAATCCTGAAAGTCATTTGGAAGAAGTTTAGCTCTAGGGTGTCCTTATTCTAAAGTGAGATTTTTGAAGTGTTTTTCAAGTTAGTCCTAAAACACAAAAGTATCTAAAACTCTGTGAAACCACTGGCAAGTATTATCAAAAAAGATGGTTATGTAGCTTCATAAGGACCCTGTTCTATCTCATTCCATTTTGAAAGTATCTGTACATGAATTCAGAGGAAATCACCAAAGGCAGACTTGTATCTGAGGGAGGGGATCAAAGAGATGCTGGCAGATTCACTGTTATCAGAAAGACCTCAAGTCTTGCAAGATCAAAGTCTTGGTATAAAGTGCATGTCTTCCCATTTAATTCTGCCTCAACCCTCCTCTCTCTCTCTCTCTCTCTCTCTCTCACACACACACACACACACACACACACACTACTACTAATAACGTAACCTTAACTTATTACTAACTACTACGTAGTACTACTATACTACTACGTAGTACGTAGTACTACTACTTATAACTAATAACTACGGTTACGGTA